GCCTTCTGTTTCCTGAGCCCCTAGGGGTCATACTTCAAGCTTTTCAACCATAAGGGCTAGAAACCTCCTTTTAAAAAAAATGAAAGCTGAGATTCTCACGGATTCACTTGCCTCCTGGAACTGGAATTTAAAAAAAAACACCATATACCACAAAGCTTGCAATAAAATCATAGCCGCTGGCAACACAGGTAGCTATATGCCACCTGTTCCCTCACCTCCGTCTTCGGGCCATGTCAGGGGCACAATGGGGTAGAGGCAGAGCATAATTCAGTCCAGCAATCCTTGATCAGTGGAATGACCCTAATAGCGATACTAGGCGTAGCCCTGAGGCTATTCCAGTTTGCATTACTGCTGAGGCTGGCCCCCTGCAACCTCCAGGATCTAGGGAGGCAGAAAACTAGCTTTGAACCAACTTTGCCTCCTCCCTTCAACTGCCCTGGTGTGAGCTCTGCACAGCTGAAGATTCAGCCCCCTAATTCTAGCACATGCAATGATACCCAGTAACACACAGTCAATCACAAACACACACATTCCTACATAGCAGAGTTTTTCAGAGCTTTTTCATCTCTTGTCAAATTGGGACACGCCAGGGCAAACTATTAAAAACAACACACACAACTCCTTAAACCCCCACTAAGTCCTTCATAGCGAACTCCTCCATAACGAAGGCATTAGAGCTGTGCAGCATACATTTCCCAGCCTCCTGGACATTTATCCAGGAATACAGATAAAACTAACAAGCAGTCCCTCTAATTCCTCCCTATCTTCCTCATTGCTTTATTTGCACTGAACTGGCCTTCAGCTACCAGCCCTGCTGCAGTGTGTGTATGTGGGGGGAAGAAAATGGGGGTGCCATGGGATTCCAGGGCTCTCAGCACCAGCAAACCCAATCTAGTCTGCTTTTATCCTTCCAAATAATTCCAAACTCTTTTTCTTTCTTTTGCCAGTAACTTCTCCTTCTGGTTACCTTGCCTTTCCTAAGGAGGTTTGTTCATTTATTCATTTATTCTTTCATTCTGTCTCTGCTGCAGATTTTAAGCTCCCAGGAAGAGTGGTACAAGGCTGAGCTGAGAAGTCATGAAGGATATGTCCCCAAGAACTTCATAGATATTCACATTCCCATGTAAGTACAACTGGGATCAGGTGCATTTCCCTTGAAAATTTCAGAGAATTTTGTCGTGTGTGTAAGTCTACACTTATGACAGCATGTACAGACACTGCACACCCAGCTAGCACAGGGATAAAGAGCAATGTAGAGGGTGAGACATGGCTTTGGTGAGGAGAGGAGAGTGTCCTACACGCCTGAACCTCCAGGGTGTATACCCTACATGGGCTCTCTACATAGGGTTACCATATTTCAAGTCCCTCAAATAGAGAATACTGCCAGGATCTAGGGTGGGGTACAGCTGCCACCGCTCTTCAGCCATCCTGCTATGAAGGCAGCGCCACCACCACCACCAGCACAAAAGTAAGGGTGGCAATACCATACTATGCCACCCTCTCTTCTGTGCTGCCGCTGGCAGTGGCACTGCCTTCAGAGCTGGGCACCCAGCCAGCAGCTGCCGCTCTCTGGCTGCCTAGCTCAAAATCACAGACATTTGTTCAGATTTCCAAAAATTTGCCTGGGCAGAGATTGGAGAACCAAAAAAGAGGTCCTATCCAGGAAAACCTGGACGTATGGTAACCCTATCTCTACAAGCCCAAGCAATGCCTCCCATATCTACACTGCTGTTTTTTACCAGTGTAGTGTCCTGTTGCCTCCTGCGTGCCAAAGCCTTTCCCATAGGACATAAGAACAGCCATACCAGACCAATAGTCCATCTAGCCCATTGTCTTATCTTCCAACAGTGGCCAATGCCAGGTACTTCAGAGGGAATGAACAGAACAGGCAACCATTGAATGATTCATCCCGTCATCCATTCCCAGCTTCTGGCAAACAGAGGATAGGGACACTGAGAGCATAGTGTTGCATCCCTGCCCATCCTGGCTAAAGCCATTGATGGACCTATCCTCCATGAAATTATCTAGTTCTTTTTTGAACCCTGTTATAGTTTTGGCCTTCACAGCATCCCCTGACAGAGTTCCATAGATTCACTGTGCACATAGGCGCCAACTTCTCCTGACGCCAGTGGGAGCTCGCATCTCCCTGCCCCCAGACCTGCCCCACCCCCATTCCAACCCCTTTCCCAAAGTCCCTGCCCCTATTGGACTCCTTCCCCAAATCCCTGCCCCAGCCCCGCCTCCTCCCCTGAGCACGTTGTATTCCTGCTCTTCCCCCTCTCTCCCACAGCTTGTTACGCCGCGAAACAGCTGTTTTGCGGCAACAAGCGCTGGGAAGAGAAGCAAGGACAGCGCGCTCAGGGGAGGAGGCAGAGGTGAGGTGGGGTTGGGCGGGGAGCTTGGCTGCCCGTGGGTGCAGAGCACCCACCAATTTTTCCCCGTGGGTGCTCCAGCCCCAGAGCACCCACGGAGTCGGCACCTATGACTGTGCATTTTGTGAAGTACTTCCTTTTGTTTGTTTTAAACCTGCTGCCTATTAATTTCACTGGATAACCCCTAGTTTTTGTATTATGTGAAGGAGTAAACAACATTTCTTTATTCACTTTCTCCACACCAGTCAAGATTTCATAGATCTCTGTCATATCCCCCCTTAGCAGTCTCTTTTCCAAGCTGAAAAGTCAGTCTTTTTAATCTCTTCTTATATGGAAGCTGTTCCATACCCTTAATTATTTTTGTTGCCCTTCTCTGTATCTTTTCCAATTCCAATATATCTTTTTTGAGATGGAGCAACCAAAAATGCATGCAATATTCAAGGTGAGGGTGTACCATGGATTTATATAGAGGCAATATGATATTTTCTGTCTTGTTATCTATCCCTTTCCTAATGGTTCCCAACATTCTGTTAGCCTTTTTGTCTGCCGCTGCACATTGAGCAGATGTTTTCAGAGAACTATCCACAATGACTCCAAGATCTTTCTTGATTGGTAACAGCTAATTTAGATCCATCATTTTGTATGAATAGTTGGGATTATGTTTTCCAATGTGTATTACTTTGTATTTATCAACATTGAATTTCATCTGCCATTTTGTTGCCCAGTCACCCAGTCCCTGTTTCCTTCCCCCTTGCTGGAGCCTTTCACTGCAGTGTGCACCTACACTGCAGTGACAAGTGGTGTAGATGTGGACTGCTTTTCATGTGGCGTGCAGTTACCCTTGTAGTGCCTGTACTCTACATGCTGCCATAAGTATAGAGATTGGTCAGCACTTCCTCTCTCATGCTTTCTTAGAGCACGGTACAGTTTAATGCAGACAGGGGCTGTGGCAAAACTCCACATGTCAGCCTGTCAATGCACATTAGTCCTGCCCTGTAGCCAGGGCCGGTGCAAGGATATTTTGCGCCCTAGGCGAAACTTCCACCTTGCGCCCTCCCTCCCCCAAATAAATCACATACATTATACACAATACACGGTCACAGAGTAACATGTTATAATTTAGAATTTATGTTTCCGCGCTTTAAGTTTAGCAAATTTAGCAACAAGTTCCTCCAAGTCAATGCTGTGAGCAATGTCATGTTCCAGGGCCGCACAGAGGATTCAGGAGGCCTGGGGCAAAGCAATTTCGGGGGCCCCTTTCATCAAAAAAAGTTGCAATACTATAGTAACGTATTTGGAAATATAAACAATAACTAGTGAAATACATTAAAAAATTAATTTGTTAATCATTTGTAAATA